GAGAATGAGGTCCACCTCTCTTTTTACCACAGTTGCCGTAGTTCTATGAGAATGGAAATGAGAAGCTGTGCAAAAGAAAGGCACTAGTCCTAGTCATCAACTGCGGTTACCTTGTAGATTGGAGATGTCCTTTTACTGACCAGAAATTTAGTTCGAAAAATTTGGTCAAAGTGTCGCAGGACTTTTCGAACAACCTAATAGAATGTTTGCCTCCTTCAGGCTCTCGGATCAAAGGGCAGACATCCCACATGAGAAGACACTGATGGACTTGCCGCCCGTACAGCGAACGGGGAAATAACGAGAAGCTGAGGAAACTAAGGAAACTTCATTGGACCTGTCATAGCAACCTGTTCCTCAGCGATACACACGTTCAATTGGGGAATCCTCACTCACCTTAGAGACGAAACGAAATGTCGCTGGATTTATGGTGTGGTTGAAGTTGTCGTATTGAATGGACCAAGGCAATGGCCACACTCCTCCTCTGTAAGTATCTGCATACATGCATCACATTAAAAATGAAATTGAACAACGGTTTCTCTTGAGGCCCTTCTCTCAGCTTTTAAGGAAGGAGCCTTAGCCCGGCACGGTGAAATATGAAAAATCGCTGATCTCTATTACCCTGAAAAAAGCGTGTTTGTGCAGGAAGTGCCAAAGTTAATGACCTCCCAAGATATTCCAGAAACTGATAAAATGTTCAAAGACCTGACAGGTCCCAAAGATATTTGCTGGTTGCCATTAGAGCCAACCAAATCTGTTCGTTTGGCTGATTAGAGCAAGACTCGCCCGGAAGACGAAAACTATGGTTTTTTACATTTTCTGAAAGCGGCAGTTCACTGTATTGTCGAAACAGCATTCAAAATGCCAGATTAAAAAAGGACGTCGAATGCTCGGCAACTTGTACAAATAATATTACTCATGCATTAGCAGTATCTCAAAAATTTCTCTAATAGCCTTCTAAAAATGTGCTGAAAACCTGTTCAAGGGGTAGCTTGACCCCTTAGACACGGATATCCCACCTGCTCAAGGCAAAAACGTCTGGCACATGGTCTCCGAGAGAGAAACCAAAGCAGGCCTAAGGCGCCGGCGCTTGTTGATGGAGCGCCAGGCGCCTTAGCTTCAAAAAAGCACGATATGCGTGTTCACTGGTTCAGAGTATCCCTTTTCGGGAATGACCACAATTGGTCATGGACAATCTGCTCCAGCCTACTGCAGGAAAAATTATCAATCGAATATCGGCCTCAAATACCTGCTTCGGAGTGTGATACTGTAAAGAGAACCCGGTGCCAAACCCCTCTTTGATAAATAATTCCGGAAGCGAATTTCTCTCCCCAGAAAAGAAGAATAGCTAAACGGCAAAAGTAAATAAAGCAAGTAAAAAACAAACCGAGTGGAGGCTCCCGGATAAGGACGCCCGTAGTACCACGGCAGTTCAGCATTTCCTATAGCGACTGCTATACCAAGAATAGACAGGCTTAGTGCTATCATTCTGAAGAAGAATGCTAAAGGGAGTGAAAGAATACTTGGTAGAATCACAATTTGAACGGAATGACTGCGAACAAAGTTTAGAAATGGCCCACATCGATTGAAAGCGGGATGAGGCAAAGTCGGCCGCCCTTGCACTCCTCTCTTCTAATGACCTGACAGCTGTTTTACATACTGGTACTAGCTTGCGTTTGCAATCTTTGAGAATGGTGTGACAGATAGGTCTTTCTCGTCATCGTGTAGCTCCGGCAGAAATTTTTAACAATTTCGTTTTCCATTGCTCAGCGCAGTGCCTTCCAGAGGACATGGAAGCTCGTTCTTAAAATAAAGCCAAAGCTTGGAAGTAAAGAAAATGGAAGCGCATCTTTCGGTCCATGACTAAATACCGTTAAAAATTCACACAAGGCGGGAACGGTCTGCGGACAACGTAAAATTAATCGCTTTGGAAGAGCCGATTTTCTGTTTTTCTCCGCACTCTCTCTACTGTGTAGTATTCAGCAGTCATTGTAACCTCACCATTTCAACTTTTCACGGATGATAGGTGATTACTCGCCCTAGAGTCCTTCGTCCTTTTGAGAAAAAGCCACCGCTCAGCCACAGTTTTTTTTTCACCTTTCGAGGTTTTGGCAGCTGCTGTCCTCTTTGCCGTCTGCGCTATAGGGCGCAACTGGACCATAGAAAAGTTCAACTTGACACGTATCATCCCAACTGTCTGCGTTATTAATTTTCGCAACAGGACCATGCTCATTTCAAGTTGTCACATAGCCGTAGCGGCAATGATCCTCCTATCACGCGAGCTCCCTGGGTCAGAGCCCGGCCCGGCTAGCGCCCAACCCAACTAAGCCTTCTTTCCTACATGGACGGAAAATTAGCGTTACTTAATCGGCTCTGGGGGAAAAAAGAAACATACTAGCAAGTTGGCTGATCTAGCCATGATATCGACCTTGTCGGTACGTCACACCATGGGATCGGCTAAAAACATCTCAAAAATCAGATTTTTTGACTAAATGATGCGGGAAGGAGTATTACAGCTCAGTTTGCCTAAAAGTGCGATAGGCATTCGCTTATCTTCCGACAAAATTTGAACAGTGAACCTTTCATAGTTATTCGATTATCTAGGACTAAAACAAACTCTTCTATCTCGCAAGGTAGTATTCACGTGATTGTGCCCGGCCTAGGACTCGACTGGCTAGCCCATGTTACGCATGTCACAGCGTCAAATTTCACGAGTAGCCGTGTTCTGGAATCCCCCACGAGCCAAGCGAGCACGATGCCGTCCCAGAAACACGAGGTGACGAACATTCGAAAACAATTAGAGAATCATGTATGTTCCGAGAGAGAAGAAGTCGAAGGTGTTGCGGAAGACCGGCAATAGAGGAAAGAATTCCTCGCCTGGTGTGCTCAACAGGACGGAAAAAAGTCTTATGCTCCACCGACACAAATGTGACGAAAGTGCACGATAGGGGTGATATGATAAACTGTGCTATTACCTAGTACCAGGAGAACGGTGGCGAAAGTGCATAATCGGCGGGCTATGATACCCAGCTGAAGAGCTCTCGCCTTCGAGGAAATGCCATCATTTTTCTGAAATCCTGCACTCATTCTACTACCACTCTACTTAAGAACCGTTGAGGCAACCTGAATGCGATGTCGTTCACAATAGCTCCCGGGTGACAGCGAATCGATAAGCCAGTGATTTTATTGCCTCCCAGGTGAAGGCGTTTTTTGAAGAGTCGCTACGGTGGTACTAACTAAATCTTCATAAGTCAATTTCATTCAGGGCACATCATCGTTGGAGATTCCCCAACAGGGGTTCGTAATTGGTTGAGAAGGGGATTGGGAAGAGGGGAATGGTCGTATTCTGTCTGAGAAAACTTTTTTGATAGTTGACTTTTCTTGTTTCACGGATACTAGAAGGAGGAAGGAGGAGGGAATATTCGTCTTCCGAGACAAAAGGGAAATTTTCCCCGGTTGTTGACCATTCGCGGTTTTTCCGCGCTTCCGCACTCCTCCCCTCCCCATTCCCCTTCCGCTCACAACTTGATCATATCATAGGAGGAAACTGTGGGGGGGGGGGCTGGTCGTATCAAACCACTCATTAGGGGGGGGGGGGGGGAGTCGTACAGATTCGAACGCGAAATCCACAACTAATGATGTGCCCTGAATTCATTCAGGTCATATTGTAGCAATGTGGACCCAAATCGCAATGACCACTCCCCTACAGACTGCAGTGACTCTTGGGCGCCTGGTATACAAGTATAGTAGTATTGTGTAAGGACGTATGCTAAGAACTCATACCGAGAGGGGGTCGAAAAGCACGCTGCCTTGTTCCGATCCACTGCATCTTCTGCCGTGGCTTTCACTTCAGTGAGGTCCTTCTTGATGACGTCCCTCCATCTTTTCTTTGGGGCTCCTCGTGGTGCCCTCTACTTCGAGTTCAAACCCTTCCTTATTGAGTGGTCTTCAGGCCTCCTTAGTACGTGCCCATACCATCGCAGTCGCTGCTCTCGTGCCTTCAGCTGGATCGGAGCCGTCTGTGTGATCGCCCTAACGTCCTCGTTTCTGACTCTGTCGAGCCGTAGCCGTAGAGGATGGTTTTCAGTGACCCCTCCATGAGTTCTT